GTCTCGTATGGACCCAGCCGGTCCACACTCACTGATAGAGATGTTCCGTTGCTTATTAAACTGGGAGGAGGTACACGATTGGCTCATTGGGTCCAATGGTAAGTCGGGATGTCTAAGTGCATCTTATTAATGACAGCTGCACAAAGTAATGGGTTTAAATGGTATATTGTTCTTTGGATAGTTTTGCCCGGTTATAATACTTGACACGTGTCATCCTAACTTACCTCTAGGACTAGGGAATAGTACACAGTGCGCGGTATCTTTTCATCTCTTTTAACTTCCTTTTATTGAAAATGTATATTGATACGTGACAGTTTTAGGGAGGAGTGGCAGCCATTCAAAAGACTGACACCAGATTTATGAAAAATGGAGACAGTTAAGCAATGGTGCTTGGATTCTAACACATGTATTCCGGAACAACAAGTTGATAATGATGACCGCTTGATGGTTGATGATGAAATTAAAAGAATCATATAGTCGAGTGGTTGCCTTNGGTTATCTGCTCAGATCATCCTGACAAATGTTTCAGGCTTCCGCTTTACAGTGACAAATAATCCGCTGAAACTGGTACTGCTGAAAATAATCTATGTAATGATTTTGTCCATATTTCAATTGATGCAACAAATGGGGTGCAAGCATTCGTAGTACCTGTCTGAGTGATGAAGTCTGATATCCTATGGTGGTTTCAGTTGGCCGCCGATCATCTTGACCCGAACCGCTGAAACGTTCACATAGCTATTGTCAACTGTCAGTAGTGATTCAGAAGTAGTGCATAGAAATTATCATGCATTTAAGACGGGCAGGTCAACGGAAAACCGAATCCCGTTCATTTACTGTTATCTTTGTGTTCACAACAATGAATGAACTATGGATCGAAAACCGGGTACTGTCCACTATCTTAACAAGACATAGTAGTACACACGGGGTGAGGCGTTCGCTTTCGACTGCGTCTCATTTTTGCTGTCCTTAATCGCTCCTAGGTTGTATCGTTTTATTACACACCTTTTATGTGATTAACAGCAGATGTAGTGAACTCCATAGCCACATAAACCTTCTACTTGGTGAACGGAACCGACAACCTTAGCCCCGGGACTTGGAGTAGAAAACCACAAGGTTATGCGTTCTATTAAATCGGACAACACCAAAGCTGCCTATCACCAAAGTTGGGTGGCGGTGACGCTGGTTATTATTCGTAGAGTTTCGCAGGATTAGGATACGGATTGTTGTCCCCAACACCGTTCGGGAGCGAGTGCATGTCACCAACTAAACTGCCACGGCGTGTGGTGTTTGCTGATTCAAGCTATAGCTGGAAGAAGGTTATAGACGGTATGAAAATCCTGACCAGGGGATTCAATCATATAGGCTGCGTTAGGCTTCCTAGATGGATACGTTGTGAGCAGTGCGATCCTCGGTAATAGACGCCGGGCGATCTGGCTGAATATCGTACACAATCGTAGTGCGGTGGTTTAATCCTGTGTTACCGGTCCAGTTTAGACCCTATAGTCCGAGGTTCGAACCACAACCCCGCCAGTAGACAGATTTACTGTCATCTTTTTTCCAACCTGAAGGTGTCTTATGTGGTTCACCACTCCAAATCCAGAGGCTTAGGTGGCCGGTTTTCATCACTGTTCGTTACAGAAATGTGTGTAATAAAAAAGTGGTGCACCTGCCTCTACTCTACCCTCGATCTACCCGAATTCTCCATTTTTACCGTAACACAGCATCGTGATCTTCCCCCTACTCATTCATCCAAATCAGTAACCAAAAATGCTGCACGAAAGTGCATCGTGTNNNTTGTATAAGGTGAAACTGAAAACTGCACCATCATCCATAACAATCTGTCCACCTCAGTAGCAGGTAACGTTACAGATTTGTTGTTTATGTGACATCTCTGATCTCGCCAGATATCTATCACAGATTATTTCAACCAGAGGCAACTTCTTACACTTCCATTAACTGTCAATTCATATTTCTTTCACATCTTACCGTTTCTGATAGTTGCAATTTCATGAGGTAATTTTATTTTCGATTGTGTTCACTTACCGTAGCGAGCAAACAGTTGAAAACCATTCAATGCAATGAATGAAGTATTTTCTCGTCTGTCGAAAATACCTTTTTCCGACAGATCGACACCGTGTGCATCCTAAGTGTTCACCCATATGCTCTTACAAGCCTGCTTGGTCTGACAGCGGTCTCCGGAGGATGCTCTGTCGTTTGATGACTATGATTGTTTTAATATACGGTTTACTGTGTTCTATTTGACCATTATTTCGCTGTGTCTGTATCGTTTCTGTTTATTTGTAGTATTGACCAAGTGCTTTTCAATTGTACGAATGTGCACGTTATTCCTGTGTCCGATTCCATATTGCATTTCGTATTGTAGGTCGTGCTGTTAGAAATCCCCGGTCTGTGCAATTTTCGCAGACCAGTTTCGACGAATCGATCGTTACATAGTTTCAATAGAAAAAGGCGAAGTTTTCAACATTGGATAAGCTTGTTCCGAAATCAAAGATATCTGTGAAAGCGTTCTTACCATTGTTACCATTTTCCTCTCAGTTATCGTGATCTGTTGGATCAATGGCGCATGTGGTTCCACCGAGCCAATTTCGACATCACGTACAAATCTCGTTTAGTCTCTGACTGCATGTGGACCACGTCCACGAGTAAATCGCCCGCTGCAAGCATGGGAACCACGGCGAGTATTGCCAACCGTTCAATGGAGGCAACAACCGCGGTCGATAGTTCCGGTGTGTCGGGGACCACAAAACCGGCGACTAGTCCGAGCATTCCTAATACACCAACCAAAGTACGAAATGTCGGCCTGGTGGCTGCCGTAAACCAGGTAAATTGTGTGCACCTCTGTTGTGTTGCTGCCATAATGATCCTGATCGGGTAGAGAAATAGTTATACAAGAAAGACTGTTCCCTGTTTCACGGAATTTTAGTACATATTATCTGTTAATAATGAACCTGGAAACAGGGGACCAAATCTAACACTCTTCCTACGCCTTATCTCTGTCTTATATTATCAGTGTTGTGGTGTATCATCTCTTCCTTTTATTGAATATTTAGTGGTACAATTATCATGAAGGGGGAAGTGGTCAACCAAAATGATTGTCATGCAACAGAATGGAAAAAAGTCAGGCTTTGATGGAGGGATTTGAGCACACATCGTCCGGGGCAATAATTTGGTGATCTTTACTGCCTGACCAACGAGCGCCACAGTCATATATCTGTCTGAAACGAAACGTGGTTTGGCGGGTAAGCGGTTGTTTAAATGCCCGGGTCGCTGATATTCACACCCCATCACGACGAGATCCAACCGTGGCTTGATGTGATAAAGTGCGTGCTTCTGTGACCTTGCGAACCGTGCAAAATGGCTTCCTACAGCAACAGATACTATTTTACCCGAAAGGTCTCTCTGGATCAGCTAGTTGGGCACCTTTCTTTTCTCTCTTGAAGAGGTCTTTCGAGCAAATAAACGCGGGTGTGGGCAGCTGATCAGTCAAAAAGAATCACTAGGTTAACGTTGGAGCGGGATATCTGGTGATTTCCATTGATCTTAGACTCAATCAACCATACCATTTCTCGCTACTTATCCTTTGTCAAACTTGTCTCGGGAAATTCGTCACTCCTTATTGTACAGAAAAATTAAATATCTGAATTTAAACTTTTACAGGTTTTGCTGTCGTCCCTAGGCCCTGTTACATGATTCTTTAACCAAATCGAGCACAAAGAATTGTGTTCCAGTCAAAATGAGACTTTCAGTGATGGATTTTATGAATTCGAATGAACGTAATGCCTGACATAATGTGAAAACTACTAATGCTGCTGCATCTTCTGGTCCCGGAGTGCTGTCAATGGCAAGCACAGAATGTGTTCCCTATTTCGCTTTTGCGGAACTGGAATATCGCGTATCATTACCGCTCCTGATTTACACCGGAAGCTAGCGACAGTACTATGCTACAAAGCCGACGGACCATGAGAAAACCGGTGTTATTCTGCGCCATCCTTCACCATTGTGCTACCTAAATCGTATCTTTTCACTTTTGTGGTACGGATTGAGCATTGGCTTTATTGTTTGAGCTACACTATGCCTTCTTTTTTACCCCCACATGAAATAACACAGTTTACCGAATGGTATGGTGTTCAAGAGAATTAAGTTTTTGTCAACTACGTTCTTTCGGGCCTAGGGTCCGAGGTTCGCATCCTTCGCCACCGCCGTCAACCAACTTTTATGGTAGCAGACTTATTTTCGTCCGGCCAAATATCACATTTATCTCATCGAGTTTTGTGTGGTTCGCCAGTCCAAGTCCCCGGGGCTAAGTTAGCCAGTTAGCCAGAGTGATCCATCAACCCTCGTGTGTGTGCATGCACGTGTGTGGCGTAAACCCTTCTACTTTTCCTCATTAAATGCTCCTATATGACCAAGCGTCTCAAATAGCCTATACTGAGGAAGCCCTACTCACTACCTTCTCGTGACGGAGGTGTTTTCCCACCAAAGTGAGAGGACGAAAAGCCGACATCCGAGGATATAGGATCGGTGAACCATTAGCAGGTCACCTAGGGGAGTTGGCTAAAAACTCTAATTCCAAACGAACCAGAAGGAGGTGTACGAACCACACGTACACCTTCCTGGTTGTGGCAGTGATCACCGGCTCAATTGGGCATCAAGGTGTATTGGGCACCTTGGACGTTTGACCCCGTCCGAAAGGCGAATGATCCACTGCACTGGACGCCGGCCCGCAATGGACTGTAGACTCTGAGCTCCGTCCTGTTGTCTTGCAGTTCTGACTTTCTAGCCAAAGGCTTCGAGGCTATCTCCCTTCTTTGGTCGGGGCAGCCGGGAAGTAATATGCCCACACAACCTATAAACACATTGTACAGATTTCTTTTTGTTCATATTTCGCGGCACATTTATCAGTTCTCTGTGATTGGTTACGTGTTGTTGAAATAAGTGTTCCTCACACAATGGTGTTTACTAGAAATATCTGCTTGTTCGTGGAAGTGTTCATATCATTAAAGATCAGTGAGATCAATTTTCTAATCGAGACTTTTCCTATGTGATTACTCAAGGTATTCTGCGATTCGGCCAAACGTTTTTTGTTTGTTCGTAGCAAACTGCTGAAGTGTAGTGATCAAAAAGAAAACAATGGTTTAAATATGGGTGTGGTTTGTAGCTCTCTTTAAGAGAGCCAGAACACATTGCAGCACAACGGAACTAAGAGAACAAGAAGCGAAGTATCTCTTCAAATTATTCCAACGAAACGGATACCCAAGAAACTTGATACGGAGAATCTGGTACAGAACACAAAGAGAGCCAAGTCAACGAACACAATCCGACAAGAAGATAGTACGTCCATACATCAAGAATATTTCGGAAATGGCCGCAAGAATGCTCAAACCACAAGGCATTATAATTACGCATAAGCCTACAAAAACTATGAGAAGAAACACTTCAAGGCTGAAGGAACAAATCAAAAGGGACAAGCGAAAAAATGTCATCTACAAAATCGAATGCAACAGTTGTGACGAATGTTACATTGGACAAACTGAAAGAAACGTTGCAACAAGAATTCCTGAACACAAACTTGCGATAAGAAGACACGACCCTCTTTCATTGATGTCCGTGCATGAGGACTAAGAAGGGCATACGTTTAATCTGGACAACTTTCACATTCTGGATCACGCGAGCACAAAGCATTCAAGAGAATTCCTGGAAGCATGGCATTCATCAACAAACTCAATCAATAGACATATCGAACTGGGCCCAGTTTACAATCTGCTGAGGCGCAAGGTCTCCAACTTATCCACGAAACAGAAGAGGAGTTGACCGGTTCAATACCCACCGGCCCATGACCAGAAACCCAAATACCATGCACAAAAGAACCTTCAAATTTATTCTCAAGTACAAAAAATTTCAAACTATTAATCAATGGAAAAGGTTTGGTACAACTGCTACTTAATTTAGTAACTCTGACAGGTCCAGGTCATAGTCAGAGGTCAACTTACTAAATCTAGTAACCTTGGTGCGTAAAGGTCATCTCTATAGCAACCACCAAAGGTCAAGTTACCAAATTTAGTACCGTCTTCAAGGTCAACTACAAGAACAATTCTCAAGGTCAAATCTAGGGTAGTAATACTATAAATAAAGACAAGCACAGGGATCATAACCAACGCACTGACGATGTCACCTCGGCTGGCGATGAAACGTTTGCGATCTAAACGCCAAGCTCAGCGAACACAAGACCCCACAGAAAACAATGGAGTTTCTCCGCCTTTCGTGTAAAACAAGAAGGAGTCGGTTATCGGGGAAAGCATAATACACCATCTGTTGACTTTGGTTCTGCCATTTGCATTATCACACTTTCGCTTCTCTGTCCTTCTATTCCAGGTGTTTGTTGCATGTGGGTTTTGTGGTTGCCGTTTGGGACCCCAGACACGAGCAAGTGTGACATCGGTCGGGAATACATCGTCCAGTTCCGGTCCGATGGCTTCCGCATCCGATTCGATTGCGCTCGNGCTCGCTTCGACCGCGCGCAATTTACAAATGCACGAAGGCGGCGGAAAGCACACAATTTGTCAACAGTGTCGCAAACCGCTTCCCCGGTGTGCCATTTGTTTGATGCACTTGGGCACAGTGGCTCCCGCGTTATCTGAATCCACCTCAACCAATCCACAAATGGAAGACGTATTGAGGCAATCCGCGATCGCTTCAGTCCCAGCCTTGACCAACAACATGGCTCGTGTTCTACAGCTCAGTATTCACGGCTTGGTTCCGCATGACTCCGTCATTGCAGATACTTCTTGTAACCGGTGCGTTCTGTTTGCCTTACTGTGTTCTTTATTCACCAAAAATGGATTTACTTGTGAACAGTAGCCACTTAGAAGCAACCAGCGTACTATGCCACATTGCAGGTCAAATATTCAGATAAAGCGGTGAGCTCAGCGACCTAAAGTGCTATTCATTACAACGGTAAACTCTAACAAAACACTGATTCATTGAGCCAGTGTATCGCCTCGTTAAACAGTAACACTCCCTATGTATTCTTTCCGTTTGGGGTTTCATGTGGTATACCTCTCCAATTTTCATTAGCGATCAGTTCGAGCTTTCGTGAAAGTAACTTAAAATGAACAGAGCTGTTGTCAATACAGCGACCCGTTAAAAGAATGTATTGCTCGTTCATGGTATAATATCTGGTGATCAATCGGCATATCTTTTTTATTACACACAACAACAACAGACCGGGCGAACCCCATAGTCACGAAGTCTTGTTGTTCTTTGATGGAAACCGCTAACCTAAGCCCCGGGACTCGGAGTGGCGAACCACATAAGGCCCCGCTAGATTAGGCGTGGTATTGAACTGGACGGCAGCAGCTGCGTACCACCGAAGTTGGGTGGCGATGGCGGCGCTCGAACCGTGGGCCATAGGGTCCAAATCACGCCGGTGACAGCCACTAAACCACTGCACCACTACCATCAAATTAGTTGTGTTTGAATCTCACCACCCCTACCGAACCGTTCCATACCCGTTTTTCCCCCTGTCAACCGTCTACTGATAGAAAGTAGTTCCAACTTGTTATCGTCAACACCAAGCAGTGTTGTTAGATTTACTGTGACCCGGCCAAACACTCATTTGATGGGTGAACTCAGCAGGTTTAACTTGAAATGTTTGTGTTTTGTGACTATCCTGTTCAAGGAATACTTTTTTCCTTTGATTTGGTTCTCCAGGCTCAAACAACCGCCTCGTATCCCGGTCTCCATGGCCAATTGGTTTGTTTGGTGTCAAGCCTGTCGTCATGGGGGGCATGCGAGTCATTTGGCCGAGTGGTTCTATGGTGCATGGTCCAATGCTGCTGAATCTGAATATCACACCCAGTGTCCGGTCAGCGGATGCCAGTGTCGATGTTCCAGTTTGGATAGTATGCAACCCTCCCCTTGGCTTCATATCGTGTCCCCAAGCAATACTGCTCTACGAACGAACATGGCCCGATCGGTCTCGGTTAATAGCAATGAGCTGAGCCAAGATGATGAGGAATCAGATGAAGAGGAAACAGACACTCGTCCTGTTGGTCTGGATGATTTAGTTCTACGCAGTTCCTATCTTGCCCCGTTCGGAAACATTCCGGATGACGGTACAAATCCGGTGACCTCAGGAACCTCCACATTCCAACCACTTTCTACTAGCAATTGATTCTGATCATCCTCAGCTCGCCCATCCCAACTTCACTCTACTGCTCCTTCGTGATTGAACTAATTTGCATCACACTTCATGCAGTTATTTCTTGTTTGGCCATTTCTCTCTCACTTTACACGGTTTCTTGTCACCGGGTTATAACTGTGCCTTGTGATCGTCGTCTTCAAGCCAGATTACCGGCGCTCCTGAATGCCACAATAACGCCATCAGTTTGACACGCAGACACTTGCAGAAACTGTCTTGTGGCCAATCATGTATATGAAAATCATTCAAATGCACAATACCCTTGTATGTTACTGTGATCGTTATGGGCGCAGCGTACTTCGAATTTGGGTAAACGTTCAGTGTGGGATTTTAATGTTATCTTTGTGCGTTGTATTGAATAGAACTATAGTTCCGTTGTCCACCGTACAATGGTAGTGGGGAGTCGTTATCTTTGGTGCTCATTGGGTCCGTAACTGCGCACTTTCTCGTTGGCGAACAGCGTGATCAGTGTAGGCGCTGGTTTGTCGATACCCCAAGACAGGTCAGGGCTTGTGGCTCGAGCCAATGTGTCCAGGTTCTTGCACTCCGTGTTCTCGTCATGCTTCGACTGCCAAGCTTTCCTTTGACCCAGCTTATCTGCAGTAGCTGGATGCGGATACACTTAATGTCGCAAACGAGCGTTCGTACAAACCATAACGAGACACTTCATGAAACGGAAGGTGCTTGTATTGTGCAAACGTACAGAGCCAAAAGAGGAGATGCAGAAGCGTAGGTAAGCGAGCGGAAAGTGAAAGCAAACAAGTGGCCTTGGTGCGGTAAAATAACGAGATGTAAGACAGGGAAGGAACATGTAGGATGAGAGGTAGTTCGTGTCAATACACTGGCATGCGAATGTCTTATTTAGGTGTCATCTGGCTCGTCACTCCGATAAACCATATCAGAAAGTATATTTCTAAGAGAAGTAAGTGTGGAATGCCCTTGGAACTGGCTCTCTTATCGAGACGGACGTACAGGACACTGAAACAAATTCAGGGAAGAGGAGAGAAATTGATAAATCGATGAATGTATACTTATTTGATGCAACTAGCCTGATCATCATCAGTTTCATTTGTCCATTTAAACGTCCTGGAGTGCGTCGACTAAGGCAGGTCGTGATGAGCTTCAGAATGAGACCTTGGACTCGCAAACAACAAAGTTACCACTGATTAAAACCAAAAGCCTTGTGGTTGTTATATACCTGAATTGGGGTACCGTGGCACAGGGAGCGTACCGGTACCTGCTAACGAGAATTTGCGTTACAGCACGAATGTAACAAAAGCCAACGGGCGCGGTAACATGCAAACGGATCGAACGCAGAAGGTGAAAGTCTTCTGGCTGAAGAATGCAGCTGTTAGCGATCGTGCAAAACGAACGTCACAGCGTCGGTACTGAAAAAAATGTGAGCAATTATTTAGATTGTAGAGGAAAAGTGGTCCCCGGCAAATGTCTGTTATTGTCCGCATTTCACCGTACAATCGGGCACAGTACAGCAGCCTCCTACGCCCCACTCCCGCTAGAAAGTGTGAAACAACTCTCGGTACTGGCAAGGCAAAGGTGGTGCTGTACTGAGGTGCATGGCGTTCCTTAAGGTTCGCAGTAGGTACATACTGTCTGCGGTCGGGGACAGCATCATGGACAGTGGAGTGAATGTACTCAATGTCTAATCAGATGCGTTGATGTGACTGGGATCAAGACAGAATGACAGCGAGGATTGCGGTCTGGGTTGATCAGTTAGAGTGCATACGTTGTTTACCGAGGTAGCCGGAATCACATGCGGTCGAAAGAGCATGCCGTTGGATTCGTGGATAACCCATTGAGTCGGCGGTGGAATATGTGGAACCAGAATTCGTTGGACGATCCGTGCGATAGCCAGGGCACGTATGTGGCTCGTGGCATATGGAAGTTAAAAGAGAGAAACAAGTGGTGTAGCATCCGCAGATAGACAAATGCGAACACTTTCAGTATCAGAGAGCAATATAAATGCTAAACAAATATCGAGTAGAACTGGTGATATGAATCAACGCAATGGTGTTGCTCCACAATAGCTTTAGGATCGAGTTTCGCCTACGTTCGACCACGTGCCGCCAAAACGATCCTTCGACCAGATTGTGAGACGGGAGTCTCGTTCGATGGCCGAGATAAAACTGCTTCGGGCTGGCCTGGACATACAATAGGGGTCACGTCCAAAGTCGTAATCTTTGCGCGAGACTGCC